TATTTATATTTGTGTACAAGCTGTTTAGATAGTCAAAAAGCCTGTGTTTTTAGGGTTATTAACAAAGTTCGTGTACTCAGACCAGTAATATTTGGGGTCACAAGTTTTTGCCATGGATATTTTGTGGGTCAGAAGACAAAAAGTTTGGGAACCACTGCCCTAAAGTACCCTACCTTATAAAACACGGTGATGATTCATGTTTTGGCTTTACTGTTACTAGAGTCTTTGAATAAATCAGAGAAATTACGATATTCTAAGTCTACTCACAAAATTTTGGGCAAATTTTTTTAAAAAAGGAAAAAAGACTGATTTTAATGAGTATCATAGCGTCCTGACCTGAATCCAATTAATAACTTTTTGGAAGAAGCTAAAATCTGCCATTAAAATAATTTGTCTCACTTTCTCCATCAGTTTTAGCAGATGTCGCAGCTAACCCTGGTTATTATCAGCCTTTTTGTCCTTTCCTGCCCGTTTCCTCCTTTTTATGCCAACCTTTATCATTTTTTCAAAATAAATACAGAGAAAACTTTTTTTTTTCTAATAATTCCTGAGTACTTCAAGGCTCAAGCAATTTTAAAAGTAGAAAATTGTTCCGAACTAGACAAATACAAGAAGCTCCAATCTACAAGAAAATTTAAATGCTTCATTATTTTTTTTAAGGTTTTGCAGGCAATTATCAGGGACTTCACTCACATATTCCATTTCAGTGTCTGGGCCCTTCAAAAAGTGTCAATAATTCTGAACAGAACGGTGCAATAAAGTTTCCTGCCTTCACATGCGCATTATTAATAGCCCACCCACCGGGTTGACTTTTCTCTCACATCTCTGAACGCAGTGTTCCTCTGCCAGGTGTCCTATTTACAATTCAGAATGGGGAACCGTTGATATGGCATCTGTCAGATTAGAATGTGAAGYTCAAAACAGCTGCTCAATAGCCTGTGAAGAAAAGCCTTATTTAGTTAAAAAGCCTGTGTACCTTAAAACTGCTCACTAATGAAGCTGCAGCACTTATACAAATGAAGAGATATGGAAGTGTGTACCTTTCTTTTAAGCTTTCTGAATGTGTTGATTCATTTCACATTTTGCTCTATAGCTGAGCCTTAATGGGTTGTTTGAAAAAGGCCATTATGAGACCAAGTTGTTAAACAAGATGGCATATTGTAGATTTCAACCGTTAATGATGTGGATATGCATTAAAATGGATTAAAACACTGACAGAAGATGTTATCCAGAAAGATGAGGGGTCTTTCATATTACTTGTCTTTGTTTTTCCTATCATGCTGTAGATTATGCTTTTTGTCTTTTCTTTAATAAGACAAAGGTTCAAAGCAGTGTGTGTTAAGGAAACCGTGTAAGCTAAGTTTTTATTGCCACATTTTTTAAACTGCTACAAAAGTGGGTCATGGAACCACCCCTGAAGGGCTGTTGRACACCCAGGCAGACAGACAAACTAGCCTTGAGGTAGGATCTAACCCTGCTGGGAAGCTGAAAAACTGCTGATGGCTCCAGGCAGCACAGTGGGATTGATTTAATTTAGCCTTTTGTTTATCCATTTAGTGTCCCTCGTGTAGAATTAAGAGTTTTTTATTAGAATTTTTATGTTAAATCATTCAAATCAGTTAAAATAAGAGTTGTAAGTGGTGGTTTTTACGATTACCTCTGAATAATTTTACTCTGTTTGAGACGAGATAATTTTCTTTGTCATAATCTTAATTTTTTTTGGGGGGGATCTCTGCAGAGGTTCGATTGCATGTGGAAGAATCCGAGACGAACGTGACCGTAGAGGAATCTGGTTCAATACGACTAGGCTGCAGCATTCCCTCGCAGTCGTCTCCAGACTCACGGTTCTCCGTGTTCTGGTATGTGGAGCACTCCGAGGAGGAGAACGCCGAGGACCAGCCGGGCGAGGAAGAAGACAGCAAACGGCAGTGTGTGTTTTCCATCGGACACGATGCCATCTTTGGAAACGGGAACTGCAGCCCTCGGGAGGAAGCCGAGCTGGATTCCCGCTTGCAGTTTGAGAGGGCGACGTCCGACCAATACAGCCTGACCATTCGTGAAGCCCGACCAAAAGACGCGGGCCGTTACTACTGCCACGTGGAGGAGTGGCTCCTCAACCCTCGCAATGTGTGGTATCGCCTGGCCACCAATAACTCTGGGTTCACCATCGTCAATATACAGCCACGAGGTAAGTCCTGAATCCTCTCAGCATTGTTGTGTATGGGATTACATTCAATGACGAGTTCCTTGTAACTTAAAAGTTCTTTACATGATGATGCTTTGGATTTTTGACCAAAAAGATTAGAGCAATTAATGACATGGTTATGTCTTCATTTGTTCTATTATGTCTTAAATAATCCTTATCTACCACATCATCTATTTGGGGCAGTGGTGTCTAATCCTGGTCCTCGAGGGCCACTGTCCTGCATGTTTTTTGAATTATTGTACATAAACCACAATGTAAATTTAAACTCCGATTCACTCTGTGACGTGTCGTGCGGACCTCTTGATCAGGTCACCTTTGTAAAAGAGATCCTGATCTCAATGGATTTTCTACCTGGTTAAATAAAGGTTATTGACTGACTGACTGACTGACTGACTGACTGACTGACTGACTGACTGACTGACTGACTGACTGACTGAC